GTTCAGGATGAAATCAGTAAGCAGTAGACTCAAAGCTCTCGCTACTTGCATTGAGCACTTAGTCCTTGTTGCTATATTTTACATTCCTTTATTTACAATTTTCTTAATTGGGCTTTATGTGCGATCCATTGACCCGGACCAACGTGTGCTGAGTCTGTCTCTAGCCTCTTGCCTCCCACCCTGCATCAATCCTATCGTATATTCTTTGAAAACTAAAGAGATTAAAACCAGAACTCTAGCACTGGTCCACAGAATGAAAACAAGCTCTTGACAAACTTCTCTTCCACACAAAAGCAATCTGTGGAAGGTGTGTGTGTGTAGTGAGACAAAAGAGGCCTTTTTTATTGATGATTTTGTCTGATTTATCATCATTTAAAAGCAGCCTTGTTTGTACAAATGTATCATATTATTTTTTATTCATTATTAAATAGTATGCTTTTGTTAATATTTATTTTATTTGATGTTCTGCCATTATTTAAACACTGACCAAATTCAACAAGTGAATAAAATGCATGCCCCTATTCTTATGTAATCATGCACTGCTGACTTATTTATACATAAAATATACTTGGTTGTATTTTAACGCAATTGTATTCTATTTTTTACATTTGACTGTTCCGTCCCTTATCTGTCACACAAAACACTCCTTTATAAAACACTACATGATTTTGTTTTACTGTATCTCACATTTATGTCTCTCATAAATTGTCTGATATAACAGAAGGTCTCATTATTGTGTTTACCAACACTTGCAGAAGATGACAGAGCCCTCTAAATGAAAACTCAGGTTGACTTCTGTTTATTTCTCGTTCTCTGAAATTATGCAGGAAATTAATTGCACAGATATCTACATGGTAATTATGTGATATTGCTTTCTAGGATGAATATTTAAGTTTTTATGAAATTTAAAAATGTATATAAAAAGGTAAAACTTAAATCATACTTCTACAGACACAGGATGGATGAATATTACCTATTTACTTCCGCAATTCTGCTCAAAGAAAAGATGGTATTTTTTACTATCAGGCTAAAAACAATGTGAAAAGTGTAGAAAAAAAGTCAAAGTTTACCATGACAAACACATATAAGTGGTTAAGTGAGCTGAAAGTACCAACATCACTGATAACCTTTACTGTACACCTCACCTGTTCCTCACTGGAACCATGTTGTTTTCGCTCAGTGTGGCCTGTTTAATGATAAAAGCATTTTTAGGGAACATTACATGTGTTTGTGACAAACACAGTTCACATGAAAGTGTACAGTATTTTTTTTGGACAGCTTTGTCACTTAGTCCTTCAGTTTATCAGAAAAAATCCAATTCAGAATCACCAAATTTGGTTTGTGGTTTTCACTGGAAAGGAAGGATGAAAAAAAAGAAAAATTGGAATCTGAAAAGTAACTGAAGTTGTGCAATATTTGCCTCTGAGAAGCATAAAGTTGAATAAAATACTCAAATAAAGTACTTCGAATATGTATTTAATACAATACTTCAGTAAATGTACTTAGTTACTTTATCTCATGTTCAGTTGTGTTGTCGCTGTGCAGAGGAACCTATGTGTATATCGACGGAACTGTTTTACGGTTACACTTTCGTCCTCTGCTCAAATGTGTCCTCGACGTACCGCTGACAGCGTTATGAAAGGACTTATTCGGGTTGTAGAAACTTCATTTCGGCGTCTGAACGGACAGATTGAGAGAGAATAAACAAGGGAACGTAACGGTAACGTGTCGGCAAGCTATTAGCCACATTCTCGTAAATGTTAGATAACGTAGTGTGTAGCATTAGGTACGCAGTGGTTAAAAGTGTCGGTATTTTTACTGTACTTAAGGAAGTAAACAATACAGTCATTTAATAATAATTCACTACAAGTCCTGGTTTCAAAAACGTTCTCAAATAGAAGTATTATCAGCAAAATACTCGCTGTGCAAAATGCTCCTTTAAGAGTGTTTTATATTGGGTTTTTATTATTATTGTTGTATTGACATTTAAGAACTTAAATGTAGCAACTTTTGCATGTTTTGTATGTTACATATACATTTTTATATAGCAGGTAAACGTATTGGACTAGGTACATTTTCTGAAATGAAGTGGAGTGAAAGAGTAAAATGGAAATACTCAAGCCCTCAAATTGCATTGTATATATAGTACTGTACAGTCCTTGAGTAAATCTACTTATATCTTATATATATATATAAATATTCCACGACTGCTATTGCACCAAGAAGTGGGAACACATTTATATTTGCACAAATGATCTAATTGATGATTTAAAACAATAAATGATTATCACAAAAGCATCAAGCACAAGTGCCTCATGAGACAGGATAGATTTACAACACACCAAAGAGGGAAAACAGGATTAAAACTGAAATGTGACATGATAAAATGGAGCGGTACCCTTAATAAATGTATAAATGTTCCCCAAAAGACAGACAAAGATGGTGAGTTAAATTACTGCAGATGTAACAGCTTGAGAATTTGAGATACATTTTATAGCTAAGAGTCCAGAGAAGCAAAGGCATGCTGAAGGAACAGCCAGATGTTCTGTGGTTGCTCCTAAAACTGTATCATCACTTGTTTATCAATAACATCATGTGTTGTCCTCAGCAGATCCACTGATTCAACACAGACAGGATGGCGTCCCCTTCGCCCCACGACCGCAGCCGTAAAGACGATGACGAGGACGACCCTGTTGATCGGATGATATCCCGCACTGGCTGTGCCGAGCTACATTACGCCGTGCAGGAGTGCATGGCTGAGCACCAGGACTGGCGAGCGTGCCAGAGCCAGGTGCAGACTTTCAAAGACTGTATGATGAATTTCCAAAATGCCCGGAAAGAACAGCTGATGAAGAGGCAGCCAACTTCCACTGAGTCTGCAGCCAGCTGAACTGACAACACATCACACACACACATCAAACACACATACACACACACTGGGATGTGTTGAGGACCTGCTTGACATGCTTGAGGTGGAGAGACTGTACATAATTTAATTATTTGTAATGATAATAAACAAGAACAAGCAGCTACAAAAGAATATGTCCTGATCTTTGTGTGGTGGAGAGCCAAGGTGATTTTGGATTTGTCTATCAGCCAATAGACATTTTATGTTTAGACATTGGAGTACAGAAATCCAAAAGACATGTTTCATATCATTTAGAAATAGTGTTTATATTATATGGTTTATCCCCAGAGAGAACTGGGAAGTTAATTTTTAAATAGTAAAATGTCCCGCCCAGGACATACGTTGGTCACAACTGCATTGTTTACTGAAAACATTTAAGGGTCCTTAATGGCTGTTTATGTTATGTTTATGATAAAAAAAAACCCAATTATATATCATTTTATTTTAACTAAAATATTGACCTTCCTCAAAGCTCCAGCATTCACTTTTTTTGATATAGTTACACAACATATTTCATAAAAATAAAGTAATAAATAATAAGTAAAACAAATCTTTGATATCAGATATCTTTGGTATATATACGCCTTTTGTGTCATGGGGGCTTAATTGTGTTGGAGAGAAAAATGACAAATGACAGATCTTCACTTGAAGTGTAAATTGATGAGTGGAAAAATTTATTTTAATGATTTTAGCGTAAGGCAACAACATAAAATGTGAAAAAAGTTAGAAAGTCCCAAAAAAACTTTCTGAATGCACTGTATATTGCTCAGTGACTGCAGGTTTAAAAAATCTGGCACACAAAAAACTTATCAGCTAAAAATGTCTGAGCAAGAAATATGAATAAACTACTAAAATGTAAAAAGCAGTAAGAATTTATAAATCTCAAGGTTCCTCATGAGGCCAAAGAGGATATCACAACCTCTGGTAACCTAAGTTACAACTGAATGGAAGTCAAGGACTCAGACCTTCCTATAATTGTTGATATTATGGACTTAAAAATGATAAGAAAATAATGTGTTCAGAATCAGTATGATATAAGAGGATGTGGAGTGGAGAGTCAAACTGGCTTTTCTTCAGCAGTCCATTGTAGGTTAATAAGTT